GAGCCCTCTAAGCTGGTCTAGACTCCCTTTAGACTCTATAACAGGTAATTTCCAGATGAAAAACTCAGCTGCTTTTAATGTAGAAATCTAAAGGTCAGCTGCATCACACAGTGGGGTAACTACTTCTTTATCCCCATAAGGAGAGCTTGAGGTGTCTAGTTTAAATGATGCCTTATGGAAAGGTAGATAGGTGAGGTAACACGTTATTATAAGCATGGACAAAAGAGAAGAAAAAAGTGGATGCTTTTCTGACTGACACGCTTCCAATTTATTTGGTAATAATCCTGGTTCATCCTGATTCTAGATGACTTCTCTGGTGCTAGAGTTTTTCTCCCAATTTACTAAGGAAATGAATCTTCTCTGGTCATTCTCCTTGTTTGTTTCCCTGTCTTACTCTTTGTACTGGGAAATTGTCCCTGGACGATGCTAACTCCCAAATTGTGCCAGGGAATTGCTTAGGAGATTTTTAATTTGCCTGGATCCAAGCCAGGCCAGTATCTTGCTGACTATTTACAGTATAGATGGATTGAGTTCTGCAGGCTGTGCAGGTGCCTGGTACTGTTTAACCTGTTGGTGGAGCCTGGCAGACAGGCAGATGGACGGACAATTTCCAAACAGTTGCTGAGATCTGGCCACCTAGTTTTAAAGAACAAGAGAACTTCATAATTTGGACATGATCCGTCCATGCCAAAAGCCCTCCAGTTAGCAAAATAAATGTGAATGTTTAAAGTTATTTTAAATCCATTAGGGACAGATTAAAACTAAAGGAACTTGCTGTTGTTATTCATGTTGAACCAACTGACCTAAGCCTCCAGTCAATGTTATCGATGGAGTCCAGAGAGAGACTCAGCTGATCAAATGCAGCAGCTTGGCTGCATTGCCTAAATAAATGTGTCTGAGGCCATTTGAGATGCCCTTGTTTATCTTCCTTGATCTACAGATGTTGTTCCAGAAGGGCTCATGCCCCCATCAGATCTGTCATATCTGTCAGCCCATGCAGATGTCTCATTTGCCCCGTGGCACCTCAAATGGTACTAAATACCCCATTTAGGTAACTGCACCATGTCTGTAGTGACTGACTGGCTGAATTATTCCATAGGGTCTGCTGACTACAACAGGAGCTTAGACATCTGGTATACTTGTAGACAAGTAGTGCAGCTCAATCTCATTTTAAAGTCTTGAGCCAGTTCGTACAAGGGCTTCGAGCACCATTTTAAATGTCCAAGTACTTCAAATCTCCTAGGATAGGAGGGACATTGTCACAGGGTTGGTTGGTATGACACTAAAGACCAGCAGCAGGAGCAGAGCTTCTCAAACAGCTCAAGGCACCAATGTGCAGACAACTGGACTGAGCCTCAGTGTGTCTTAATGATGACCTGAACTCCACCCACAGAGCTGGTTGCATCTTGTCTGCAAAACGCGTCTTTTCGTCTCTCATGCTCCACCGCAGAAAACTTCAAACAGATGGTAAGTCACCGAATTCTTTCCATTAAACAAACATACTTTCCTTCAGTTGTGGAGTACCCAGCAACTGACAATTAAGCAGTAATACACTTATTTTTATGATTACCCTTGTCAATCCACAGGAATTTGCTTTTCAAAACAGCTGACCTTTTCCTACAATATTATTTTTGACAAGTGATGGCTCATTACTCTCTGTTAAACTGTCAGCATTTTAGTATTTGGCTTTCAAATTATTACCATAGGCAGAGGTACCAATATCCTATAGTAAGATTTCCTCACAATTTCCACAGTAAAATCTTGCTAACCTTTAAGTTTCAAGTTGAAATTTCCTTTACCACATTTACTTCACATTTATATTTTTTTCAGAAAGTCTCACTTAACACTATTTAGATATTTCTAAGATCAATATTGAGAAGTACCTTATTTTGTGTATTAAAAAAAAAAAAAACAATCAGTCCTACACTACTGCTGAAAAGCTCTAGCATGTCTGTGCTTTGAAGCAGAAACATGACATCTAGCCACATTGTGACCTTGGGGACAATGTTGCTTCTTTGGTTGTTTTCATGATGTTCTCCAAAATGCGACATAGCTGAGCCCCTGGAAAAATCAGTTTCCATGTGCTCAGGGGAGACTTAGTTTGACAGCTATATTGCCCAGTGTGCTAGCACTGATCTCCTCCCAGCACAGCTCCTTTTCCCATCTCCCCTTTCATCATCAGGCACATCCACATGCTCTAGGGGGCCCTGCTTGAGCCGGGCGTTGGACCAGTTGATCTCCAGAGATCCCTTCCAACCTCATCCATTCCGTGATTCTGTGAAGAGTGCAGTGGGGCTTGATGTGACTTCCACTCCCTGCTGCATCTCTCTGTGGGCATTTGGTGTTAGAAGGCTCCGTCCCTAAGTGCTGCTCAGTTCTTTGCCAATTACTAGCTCCTCACTGATGTGTTTTCTTCTCTTCCCTCTGGAACACAGTTTATTGATGCTGTTTGGAGGAGAAGAAAAAATAAAAAGTTTGAAAAAGAGAAAAACAACCCAGAAGGTTTTACAATAAATTAATCTATTTACTAAGTCTCAGTTTGTTATTACAACACCCTGGATCCCTAAAAGTTGTTAGCCCTAGCTCACAGTCCTAAAACAGCCAATAGTGTACTGACCAACCCTTCTAGGGAGAATTTTCCCCTCTTTACATTAGCTGATAGATGAATGATTTCTTTCCCAAGCCATCCAGCCTGTTTCATTTTTATTTTATTTTATTTTATTTTATTTTATTTTATTTTATTTTATTTTATTTTATTTTATTTTTTTAATGGATTTCTACTCAGTTTCCCCTTTTCGTTCTCTAATTGCCAGACCATAACTGCTCTTATATTACTTTGCTAGGAACAATTCTCTGACTTTCCCTAGTCTGAAAGTGACTATCTTTTATCCCTACATATTCAGGCTTTTTGCTCAACTAGGATATTTCAAGCTTGATTTTATTTATTTATTTTTGTTTTGTGTCAAGCTCCAAAATTTTTGAAATTACTCCAGGAGCAGTTGATGTCCATGGCCCAATGACAATCTGAAAATGCCTCCAGCTGACCATATTTGTCTTGAGGTTTTAAACAGTACATTTTAATGCCTAGGAAGAGACTTGTAGTTGCCACCTGCCAGCATTTACGAACGTCAGGTTGGGCCGGTACCTGTGTGAGTGCTAACAACACACAGCCACTCCTAGAAATGGAAGCAGGAGCAGGAAATAGGAGGTGGCGAGTGCAACCTAAATAGTGCAATAATAATGTTTAGACAGCAGCAGCATTCAGTCTGCTGCAATTAGACAGTGCTCTGCAAAGCAAGGTACTATGCAAACAGATAAAAATGCAGAGGGCCACATGTATCCCACCTCCTCTTTGTTTAAAAAAAAAAAAGAATTGAAACGGGTATTAATCTCCCTTCAGGGAGAATATATGAGCCAGAATATTCTCAGTTAAGTTTTTTTTTTTTTTTTTTTTTTCTCCTCATTTTCTTTATTTCCTCAGATGCAGACCCAGGTTACAAGAAGCATCAGCTGTCTGTGTTGTGACAAGTATCCCTTTCGGCTGTTAACCGCTGTGCTTTTAAAATGCAAGCTTGGGATAAGCTCAGGAAAAACGATTCAGCAAACATCTGAGACACACAAATCTCTGAGATATCAGTGTACCTACACATCACTGAGAATTCAGACACGACTCATAGCCCCAAAAGTAATCCTATTCACAGTGGATCTCCTGCAGGTTAGTCTCTTTTTCACAGCTGGGGTTTGTGCATTTTGAGACAGCTGTGGATGGGAAGAGCAAGTGTGTGGGTTATTACCTCTTAGCTTTGATAATCACAACTGATGAGATGTATTTTTCCTCACTTTTTATTTGAAATTCAGATCTTATTTGCCTCCCTTTCCACAGGACTGGCTAAATGGGGACAAGATTATTTGCTATCTCTCATGTGTTTTCATTTTGTTTTTTCGTTGCAGAGCCTTAGACTGAACTCGTGGCCGCAGAGCCCTCTTGTGGCGATTCAGCCAGTTCTGGCAGGAAGACTGGTAATATTTTTTTTTGTTTGTTTTCCCCCCATAGGAAGAACAGAAGGTTGTCCTATGGATTGCTGTGACGGGCACAAGTCCAGGCAAGACATCCAGCCCATGCTGGCAGCTGTTTCTCACAAATCTTCTAACTGTGTACGAGATTCATTACACAATATTCCTCTCACCTTTGCCTAATTCGGAGTTTTCTTTATTTATTATTATTTATTTATTTATTTATTTATTTATTTATTTATTTATTTATTTATTGACAGAGCCCAGAGGCTCTGTCAAAAATAGAGGCTCTGTCGCTCCTATTTGAAAATATCACCATGCCACCCGCACCGCACAGACTGAATTTACGGGTTGGAATATTGCCTACAACGGCTGGAGAAAGGCAGGTATTTCAGCCGTTTGTTGTTAACTGAGCTGGAGTTTCACCTCACCATCTGTTAACAGGAGGCTGCAGCCCTGCCTTCAGGACAAGCCACCTTGTTTTTAAGTGTGGGCTTCTGGAATAAAAGCTACCAGCTTGTACAGGAAAACCAGTCTGCATGGTTATGTACCCGTTAGCATTCACAAGGGACTGAGGGTTTGCTGCCAGCAGCACCTGAGAGCTCATGGGATCAGTTGATACGTTATCGTCATATATGTATATTAATATGTTTTTAGGGTAAATGTGACTGATTTCACTACTGAACTGCTTTTTAACTCGATTTATTTCCTTCGCTGCCTTTTAAACAGAACGGACGGGGGTAGATGTTACAAAACATTCGAGCTCTCCGCGGGCAGGGACTGCCCAGCACCAATCCCCTCAGGCAGCCATTTTGGTGCGGGGGCGCAGCCCCCTCAGGGAGGCGGGCAGCCCGCCACAATCAGGCCCCGCCCCCAAACCCAAGCCACGCCCCCAACCCGCGCCTCACGCCTGAGGCCACGCCCCCACGCGGCTCCCTCCAATCAGCCGACGCCACCCCCCACCTCCTCCCCCTCCCCTCCCAGGAACTGCGCACTGTGCGCATGCGCAGTGGGGCCGTAATGGAGGTGGAGCGGGGCTTGCTCGTTGGCATCGCGGGGCGGGCTGCGCCCGGGCTGGGCCCGGGGATGGCGGCGGAGGAGCCGGCGGGGCTCGGTCCGGCGGGACTCGGTCCGGCGGTGGAGAGCGGTACGTGCTGTGTAAGGGGGTGCGGAGCGGCTGGCGAGGCGGGGCGGGCCGCGTTGGGCTGAGGGGACGGGAGACAGGGGGACAGAATATGGCGGCGGAACGGGAGTGCGCATGCGCAGCGCGGTGCTGTGGGTCTGTCAGGAGCAAACTGCCCCAGCACGGGTCCCCCACAGCTCCCCCCAGACCCCTTGCTCCTGCGTGGGCTCCTCTCCACGGGCTGCAGCTCTGGCCCGGGGCGTGCTCCTGCGGGGGCTCTCCATGGGCCGCAGCCTCCTCCAGGCCACATCCACCTGCTCCACCGGGGGCTCCTCCATGGACTGCAGCGTGGAGATCTGCGCCGTCAAAGTTGTTTGCTTCTTAACGCCGTGTGTTTCTCTTCTCAGAGTCGGATGTCTTTGAAATCATGCTCCCGATAACAATCTTAGTGCTGAGCGATGAGGATTGTCTCTATAATGAGGCTGAGGAGCAAGCAGTGACTGTTCCTGAGCTGAAGCAGGAGGCAGGCTTCAGTACCAACGTTCTCCTAAAAAGTGATCCAGCGCCTTCAGGTGCCAGTAGTGGTTTAAGCATTTTGGAAGGAAAAGAGATTGCTGCAAATAAGGATAATTGTATGGAATACCCTGAAGAAAAATGGATTGATGAGAGTTTGTGTAATGAGTTGACGTTATCCCGAAGTGATCAGTGTGACACAAGCAAAGATAAGTGCAATCGGAATGTATTGCCGACATCACCTCGCAAAGCAGACCTTAATGAGATAAATGAAACCAGTGATCGGAAAGAAGGTGTTGATAATGATGCTTGTCAGAAGATTCCTCTCTTTTTGGCAGCTGACAGTGAGGGTGGAGATGTGACTGTAAACACCTGTGAACAGTTGGCATTAGCAGCAGTGTGCAGAGATGAAGAAGAACGTGCTGATGTTGCAAATGTTCTTTCTGCTGGAACCCAAGAGAAACAACTGGAAATCCTCACGGAGATGGAGGCAACTGTTAAAGTAGAAGGTAACTGGTTAATAAGATTAGTGCGGGGGTTGAAGAAATCCAGTAAATCTCAATCCTGAAATGGGTGGGAAAACAGGAATAATTCAAAATAATTTATTTTAGATTAATCATTCTAATATAGATTTCTATCATATGCAGCAGGAAAAGACGAGTATGCATGGTTCTTTTATGGACGACTGATGTGAAAAATAGTGGAACGAAATTCGTACTGTTATAATCTGCCACACTTTGTGAAAGGGCTGCCTGAGACAAAAGGGGGGAAAAGATCTGAAAGTATAAATTTGGGGTACTTCTCATTTTCCTGTCAGGTACTAGAAAAGGCATAAAGAAATAGCAGGACTACTTGTACTCCTGACAGACAGGATAGCAAAAGGAGCATCATGTGTGCACCGTGCAAACGGCTATTTGAAGAACTGAGCCCTAGTGCAGTTGAGTGGCAGCGCTTCGACAGCAATTCTGGCATAAGGCTCTGCAAAAAGTCTGCGTAGATTACGTTTGTCTTGTGAAATTCAGAGCTCTGAGAAGACAAAAGAGTGAAAAGATGAAGTGAAAGAAGGATTTCCTTCGAGTAAGAATCCAACAAGTATTTCTTCTCTTCAAACATGATTTAAATATTGGAGGAAGGCTGTGGGCAAGTGGGGAGAGACATTAGGAGAGAAGTAGAGATAGGAAAATGAAGGTGAACAGCGTGCATGTATAGCAAGGTGATATACATTCGGCTATTTGGGATTATTGCTACCAATTAATTCTGAACATCGGTTGTTGTATGACATGTCATGCGTATGACTTTTTATCCCCATAGATACTGATTCTTCATTCAATGGAAGTAATGAAGCTAACGACAAAGCAAGTAAGAGAAGTAAATTTGAAGCCCCGAGTTCAGTTTTGGAACATATCTTGAAAGAAGAACCGGAACCTACCCAGAGTCATCCTGCTCTGTTTGCTAATAGATATTCCCCTACTTCAGAAGAATTGGTGAAAGATTTAGGGGACTTGGAGATGAATGCCTCTATTTCTGATGAATCAAATGCGACCGAAGAGCATGTTTATAAGTCATTAACACCATTTTCTAAAAAAAGACATCAGCAACAATATATTGTTTCTCCTCATGAAAACCCAAATGAAATACAGGGCCAGCAAGAAGGTTTAGCATGGCCCAGTATGAACATCAAACCTTTTTCTAAAGCATCTTGTTCTATAAATAAGCATGAAAAAATAAATTTTAAATGCAGGTTTTGTAGTTCTGTATATACTTGTGCTGCACTTCTGAAGAGACACATTCATTCAGCTCATAAAGATAAAAAAATTCATAAATGCTGCTTTTGTAAAAGGACCTTTTTCTTTTCTGTCAACCTGAAGAACCACATTAAGTTTCATAAGAAAATGAATAGGTTGCAAAAGGCAAGAAAAAATAGAATGAATGCTAGAAAAGTTAGACAAAGAAGAACTGAAGAACGAAAATCAGAGACCAAGAAAAAAGAAAGCAAATATGAGAAGTTTTTCATCAAAATTGAAAGGGACTTTACGTCTCTGGGCGTTCCAGTTATTTTTTCCTGCAGACTTTGTCTTTTTGGTTCATCAAATCCCAGGATTTTTATTCATCACATGAAGGGGCATCAAGAGAGACCACCTTACCAGTGTCCCCAGTGCGATTACACCTGCATTAGCTTATCCTACATGTTAAATCACATGTACTGGCACGCTGGCTATGAGCTGTACAAATGCAGGTTCTGTACCTTTTTTTCATTATATTTTGCAAGCATGGTGAGGCACAGCTATATACATACAGGGGCTAAACCGTACTCCTGCGAGTTCTGCCAGTCAGCATTCACAAGCACCAGCGGGTTAAAGAGGCACAGAAGATTGCACGCAGGCGAAGGAACATGCCAAGGGCCACAGCTCGGCTTTGTACGTGAAAGAAAGAGAAGTCGAAGACCTTCAAAGAGTTACACGTGTGATGAGTGTAACATTGTGTTTTACACGAGAAGACATCTCAGCTTTCATAAGAAATTTCACAAACAGTTTAAGGTGACCGATAGTGGTTATACGAATCAGAGCAATGAATATAAAAGCGAAGTGTTTGAATTTGACAGCGATTCCCAGGACTGTGCTTCTGAGAAAGATAATAGTCTCACTGGGGGAATGTGTAAAATGCTGGCTTCAGAAGTAGACTTTGAGCAGGCAGATGATGTGCAGGAGGATAAGAAAATGTACTCTGGAAACATATTTCCTGAAAGCAGCTATGGAAGCAACACTTTACCTGTTTTTGGGAGTAGATCAGAAGTTCTGGATTCATACAAAAAGGACACTGTAGTGTGCAAAGAAGACCCTCTGTTCAACCCTGATTACTCTCAGTGGCAATTCAAAGATGATGATTGGCAACCTGAAGATGGTGAAGATGCTGCATATTATACATCTGAGGATATGTGGCCTTCCAGGTTGTCTACGTTTAAAACGTACCAGTGCCAATTCTGTGATTATGCTACTGCTGTTCATAGCAACTTTAAGCTGCACCTCAAAATGCACGCAGATAGAGGACCGTTTGTGTGCCAAGAATGCAATAAGACATTTAAAACTTCAAACCATTTGCAGAGACACAGGCTTCTCCATGTAGAGAATCAGTATGAATTTGGCCGTTGCCTCTACGTGGATAGCCGTTTAGAGGAGAATCTTGGATTGCATCCTGAAATGCACATAGGTCTGTGTCCAGAAAGAAGTTTTGGTTCCTTGGAGGGTTCAAGCAGTGTCCATTACATGCTTGGTTCAGAAGTCTATGGAGGGCAGACAGCTATCCAGAGGGATGACGGAAATGATTTGCTGGCACAGAGTGAGCCCCGATTCTATCAGTGTGCAGAGTGTGACTATGCCACTTACATTTTAAGCAACCTTAAACTACACGTAAGGACTCACACAGGTGAGAAACCTTACAGCTGCAGCATTTGCCAAAAGGAGTTCCGCACCTCCAGTCACCTGAAGCGACACACAGTGATCCATTTTAATATGGAGCACCTCAAGTGCAGGAAGTGTGACTACTCCACAGACAAATGGCTGTCCTTGAAACGGCACCTGGCTTTGCACTCGGTTAGTGAAAGCTCCTCTGCTGTGTGTCTCTACGAGCAAAAACCTCTCCCTGTCAAAACATACACGTGTGAAGAGTGTGGCTATACCACGGTCCACAACAGCAACTTGAAGCAGCACTTAAGAATTCATACAGGGGAGAAGCCGTTCGAGTGCATGCAGTGTGGCGCTGCTTTCCGCACGTCGAGCCACCTGAAGCGCCACGTGCTGACTCACTTGAAGCTGTACTGCAGAAAGTGTGACTTTTCTACGGTAGATAAAAGAGCTTTCCAAAAGCATGCCAAGGTGCACAAAAAAAAGTACAAGCGTAGCGTTACAGCTCTGTAATGTGGTGCTGTCTGACAAAAAGCTTCTCAAAGAACATAACCAACAACGTGACCTTGGTAGATAAGCTTGAGATTTGCAAGCTGGCACTCAGGTCTTGAGAACTGTACATGTCTCAGAATTGTTCATTGTTGTACATTCCTCTGCTGTACTTGAAATGCTGGCTGATAACGGGTGCGTGCAGTGTTTTGGTCAAGAGAGGGAAACTCGGGATGCTTCTTTGCTCTAGGTTCTGCTAGGAGCTTTAGTTTCTAGTGTAGGTTGTGCTGAAGAAGATCTTGGAGGTGCCTCTTCATTCCTGGGTAACCTTTATATTCCAAGAGGTCAAAGTTATGGTTTGGCCTATATTCGTCAGTGTAAACAGTTACTTTGCTGCATTTATTTTCTTTAAAAAACAAAACAACCTGTTTAACTGAAAGAATGTTTAAAGGGAGGGATGGAAGTGCACGTTATGCTGTATAGTAATAATTTTTCAGTTATAAATCGTCAGTAGGTTTGGAGGCTTACTCCCATCTGCTCTGAGTTTTATTCCCTGCTACCGGATTCTCCTGTAACACCTGCAAGAGAACAAATCAGTGTCTCAAAAAATTACAGGTACATGAATTTAATCTCACTACAGGTTACAGGGATAGGAAGATGTTTTCTGTACATGTGTGTATATGTAAAATATGAAGTAGGCAGCTCATTGAGTCTGCAGTTGCTCCGGGTAATTCTCTGAGTAGTCTCACAGAATTAGTAATACCCGGAATGAGATATTTTATGATACTGAGAATCCTTAAGTTAATCTTCACAAGCTTTATGTAGATGGCTAATATTAGTTCAGTATAAACTGCCTTTGCTTTTCTCAGGCTGGTAGTCAGCTGTGTTCTGTTTCTTAGAATAGATAACATTCTTTTCAAAGAACCTTTCTGGTGACATATTGCAAAAAATACTATTTACGTTGCAAACCTTAGCACCTAGCTTGAACTGTAAAACTTATTTGTTAAAGAGATTTATTGTATATCTGTAATACCACATGTAAGAACTGCTCATGCCAAGCGGCACTTTTATATGTTATGGTGAAGGCTGAGCTGGATGTTTCTTCCACTCTGTGTTCAAATCTAGGCAAATGCTTGTCCTATGGAATTGTATGGTGATAGAAACTTTTGCGCAGACAGCACTGACTGTACATTCAGTGGGATTTATAAAAGTGCTGTTACCCTCTTGTGTAAGGAAAGAAAATGAATTGCATATTGGGAATTATTGCATAATTCTTAAAATTCATAATTCTTGATTAATTGGGATAATACTTATTTTCCCTAATGCTGCAGCTCAGACCACAGAACAGCAGAGTAAGCTTTCAGTTTAATTTACACGATGTAAACATGAAATTGCCACTGCTATTTTATTTCGCTCAAGTTTATGATTTTCTTTATAAATACAGATAATATATTTAAGAAGCTTTCTGGTGACAGGAAAACAGTTTTTCAGGAGTGGATGGAAGCTCATGAATTGATGCATGTATTTAAGGCCAGACCAACAAAGGTATTTTTTAAGTGATCTAGTTCTCGAGTTTCAGTAGTCAGACAAGTCAGTATCTGTGTCTGTGAACCCCAGCGGTTGCAGATGTTTTTACTGTAAGCTGGGAAGTCACTATTTGGAAACGAGAAGGATTCAGGTTTTAAAATGATTGAGCTATCCAGCTGATGCATTTGTGAGAAAGAAAAGCACTATCCTAATATGAATGTTTCTGGGAAATATTAATGGTATCATGCAGGCATGGAAGAACTTTTACCTGGCTTACTGTATGGTTCTGATCACTTGAAAAATTCAAAAGAACACGTGCAAAGAAGAAACAAAAATGGTAAAGAGAATTGCAGCCCATACATTATATGAGATAGGGAAGCTGAATGTGAAGAATAGTTACGAAAAACTATGTTGTACAACAGAGAAGGAGGAGACCGATTTAAGGGTGATAAATTTGCTATAGAAATTTTTCTAAAAAGGGCTCGCTAACAGTAGAAGTTTCTTTTAGTTGCAAGTAAGGAGTAGAAGACATTTTCAGATGGAACTTGAGTTTGTAGAAAATAAATATTCCAGGTGATTGCCTCTAATAAAAGATTCAGTAAAGTATTTCATGACTCCTGAGCTTCCCCTCTGTTCTTGATGCAGTGCACTGGATGTTTGGGCATTGAAAATGATTGTCTGTCAAGTCAGAGGTATTTGAATGCAAAGGCATATTCATTTTAAAATAAGGACATTGGCTGTCCATGTTTGTTTGTTTGTTTGTTTCTTTTAAAATTATTATTGGTAGCTAAAGGTGTCCTTCTAGACTTTTTTTAAAAAAGAAGCTGAGCCTCTCCTAAAACATCCTGTGAAGTTTTCTATTTGGTCCAAAATATTTGCTTAATTTTCTGGCCCTCCTGGCTGCCAGGACATGCTGCTGGCTCAGATCCAACTTGCTGTCAGCTAGAACCCCCCCAGTCCCTTTCCCCATGCTGCTCCTTCCAGCATGGAGATGCCCTTCCCCATGCTGTCTCTCCTCCCCCAGTCTGTACGTACAACCAGAGCTGCCGTGTTCCAGGAGCAGAATCTGGCCCTTGCTGTGGTTGAACTTCATGCAGTTGGTGATTGCCCAGCTCTAATTTGTCAAGATCTCTGCAAGGCCTCTCTGCCCCTGGAGAAGTCAACAGCTTCTCCTTATTCAGTATATTCTGCAAAGTTATTTAGTACTTACTCAAGTATTTACTTGACTCCTGAATCCAGGTTATTTATCTAAACATTGAAGAGAATTGGGCATAAAATGGAGACCTGGGGAACCCACTAGTGACTGATAAAACTCCATTTACTACAACCCTTGGGATACTGGAACTTCCTTCAGCTGCTCATGCAAGCAGTGGTAACTGCAATCTAGTAAAGAAACCATCCTTCTCCGTGGACTTCTTGGTAAAGCCATTTTTACAATGTCTGAGCTAATATAAGCCCTTCTGGAGGGTTTGAAAGCCTTTGTAGCCAGGATAGAAGGATATCTAGAAGGATAATGTAGCACCCACCTAGAACCAACACCACTTTGCATACGTTTTACTCTGTTTTTAATAATTTCCTTTGTGTGGGGATTTATTGACAAAATTCGGGGAAGAAGGTGGCAAGAACACCTGCTAAGGAGCATGAGGAAAGAAGTATAGTTCTGAAACTGTGAGGGCGGACAGCAGGGACTGCCCTGACATTGGCAGGATGGACGCTTTGTCCGTGACACATTTTCCACACAAAATTCACACATTTGGGGCGGTAGTAGAAGGCTGAAAGGCTGACAGGGAGAAGAGAAGTGAGGGACGTGGGGCTTGGTCCCCCTGTTGCAGGGGGAGGGGGCTGTAGGGGTTACTTTGGGGTCAGAAACTGATGTGGATGAAGTGGTTTGGTTACAAAACCTTGAGTGAAGGAGGATGGCAGATTTAACGGCAGTTAAAATCTGGATGTCACCATGCCTTGCTATCTCAATTTTTGTTTCAGTTACAGTGCGTCAATGTAAACAGCGGTTGTTTTGGTTTGGTTTTGAGTTTATTTTTTTTTTCTAATTGCTCCTACACCATGAACGTCGGTGAAACCTGGCCACCTGCTGCCTCCTCCTCTCCCCCCCCTTCTTATCCCTTCGGGAATTTGACACAACTTAAGGAATTTGAGAGCTCCTTTAGGAGCTGACGACCTCCCTGTACGCGTTTTTTAAAAATTATTATTTATTATTTATTTAGCAGAGGAGAAAGAAATGGCAAGAGAAAGCAGAAACCGCCCCGACGAGCTGAGGGCTGAGGCACTCCAATCCCTCCCGCCTTCCACTCCCCTCAGAGCCGCCACAGCGCAGTCCCCCGCGGGGGGGGCGGGCACCGCTGTGCGCATGCGCCGAGCGCCAACTCTCGCTCTCTCTCCCCGCTCCCCCCTCCCGCCACTGTGCGCATGCGCAAGCCCCTCCGCCGCGCAGCCCCCGCCCTCCCCGCTCCGCGCATGCGCAGAAGGCGAGCGGCGCCTGCGCTGGGTGCAGGCCCGGCCCCGCCGCAGCCGCTGCTGCCCTCCCGCCGCTCGTTTCTCCGCTAAGCCCCTCGGGCCCCTTTTCGCCGCCAAGATGCCGCGGATTATGATCAAGGGCGGCGTGTGGCGGAACACCGAGGTAGGGCCCGGTTTGCTTTAACCCCCCCCAGTCCTCCCTGTGCCCCCCTCACGGCTCAGCCCTCAGCGGTGTGGGGGAGGGGCTGCGCGGCAGCACTGCGCAGGCGCGGGCGGAGGGGCGGGGGGTGGTGGTCACGTGGTGCGGAACATGGCGCCTGGGGGGGGGGCGGCTGCTGGGGTGTCCCCAGAGAGCAGAGCTCAGCGCCTGCCCCTCCGCTTCCCTCGTGAGGGAGCTGCAGGCCGCCAGGAGGCCTCCCCTCGGCCTGCTCTGCTCTGGGCTGAACAAACCAAGGCACCTCAGCTGCTCCTCACATGCCTTTTTCTCCAGACCCTCATCACCTTCGTAGCCCTCCTGTGGGCAGCCCAAAGGCTGCGTGCTGGGGAGCGGAGGAAGCTCAGCCGTGCGTAGGGTCGCCTCTGCCCCACAGATGAACCACCCCCGCAGTAGCTAAGGGATATGTGTGAGCTGTGTTGTCTTCAGAGATCACGGAATGGCCAATGTTGGAGAGGAACCTCCTGAGGTTCAGTAAGAGCAAGTGCAGGGTCCTGCACATGGGGAGGAACAACCCAGTGCAGACTGGGCGCTGACCTGCTGGAGAGCAGCCCTGCAGAGAGGGCCTTGGGAGTCCTAGTGGACAAGTTAACCATAAGTCAGCAGTGTGCCCTTGTTGCTAAGAAGGCCAGTGGGATCCCCGTCAGGAGTAGTGTGGACAGCAGGTCAAGGGAGGTGATCCTCCACCTCTACTAAGCACTGGTGAGGCCACACCTGGAGTGTTGTGTGCAGTTCTGGGCTCCCCTGTACAAGGGGAATGTAGAACAGGGTCCATCATAAAGCTACAAAGACGATTACAGGATTGGAGCATCTATACTATGAGGAAAGACTAAGTGAGCTGCACCTGTTTAGCTTAGCAGAGATTGAGAGGGGATCCTATCAACCTCTATAAATACCTGAGGGGACCATGTAAGGAGGATGGGTCCCAACTCTTCTTAGTGCTGTCCAGTGATAGGATAAAGGATAATGGATATACATGTAAATACAAGGGGTAATGTGTGTAACATGCTCTAGGTAACCCTGTTTGAGGGTGTGTGTGTGTGTACTAAATGATCTATGGAGGTCTCTTCCAACCTTGGCCATTCTGTGACCTCTGAAGATCACCTAGTTCAACCCCCTGCCAAGCAGGGTCACCCTGAGCACATTGCGCAGGATGGCATCCAGGTGGGTTTTGAATATCTCCAGAGAAGGAGACTCCACAACCTCTCAGGGCAACCTGTCTCAGTGCTTCATCAGCCTCACAGTAATGAAGTGTCCCCTCATATTGAGACGGAACCTCCTGTGCTTCAGTTTGTGCCCGTTGCCCCTTGTCCTGTCACTGAACGCTACTACAAGAGATTACAACTGAGAAGAGACCGGCACCATCCTCTCGACACCCTCCCCTCAGATATTTATACACAATGATGAGGTCTCCCTTCAGTCTTCTATTTTCCTAGGCCCATTTACTGGGCCTGTTTAGCCTGGAAAGATGGTCCTAGAGCATGTTCTGCACTGCACAGGGAGGGGTTTTGTTCCCTGGGAAAGCAAGGGCATGGGAATCTCTTCCCCATGAAGACCCCTTCAGATGGAATTGGTGCGGACGTGTACAGGATCGTCATCTGCAGCCCTGAGTGTCTTGTACACAGGAATCTGTGTCTCCTTCAGGAAAATGAAAAACAGCAAAATACCCTCCAAAATCAACAAAACTCTCTCCCATTTTTGACATCACTTGCTTTCAGAACTGCAAGTGATAGTGTAAGGAAATAATAACAAAAAATAAAGACTTTGAAATGTATTTATTAGATGGCATGTTCAAAAGGAGGTACCCTGCACTGTAAAATGCAGAACTGTGCCACTGTGTACTCTGAACACTTGACATGCACATAGTTTCAGAAAGCAGTGAGAAAAATTAACAGAAAATAACTCTTTTATGTACTTTATGTGCCTTGAAGCCCTTATGCTGTACCAGCTCTGTGTCAGGAGGCTGCTGCACTGGAGGCTGACAGAGGACAGGAATAGTCGTATGCACTTACCCTGGGCTTAAATTCAGCCATTATTGACTAATTGTGGTGTTATAAAGAGAAACAGATCGTCATTTCACCCGTTTTTTATTTATCAGAGGTGAAATAGCTCATTTTAGTGTTTATTTTTTTAAATTAATATTTCAATTATATGTACAGCATTATGGATATTCAGAGTGGGAGCAGTGGGTACCAGGTCATCAGGACAGTGACTGATTGCCTGCAAAAAGCCTGCTAATGTCATCGATGTGGCTGCAGCATGGCACAAGACACCATGTAAAATTCAAAAAACAAGAGAGGATTTAGAGACATTTTGGTAATTTTGAGCTTTTCATAGAAATGACCTGAATTGTTTCGGGTAGCAGCTCAAGTCAGAGCTCCTCATCTATTTACAGCTGCTGTGTGCTCTGAGAGCTGTCTGTGCTGGACAGAGCATCTGTCCCTGATGGCTCGCATCTGCATTGTGCAGCTGAACAGATTCAGAACACAACTGAGTACAGAAGAGAAACATCTGTGGTGAACAAGGCTATAAGAATAGCTTTGAGGCATTTAAAATTCTGCTTTCTGACCTTTGAAGACATCAAAAATTGTGAATCCGCTTATCTGGGGAAAGGGAGAGAGAGACTTCTGGAATATAAAACAGGTACCCAACGCTGTGAAATCCAGAACTGTGCCAGCAGCTTGTTGGATATGAGCAGCCTGGCTCCCAGGCTGAATCCATTTATTTTTCCCCAGAAGTTTATGGGCTTCAGGATCAGCACTTGTGGGTGTAACACTCTAAACAGTGAAGTGATGTATTTTAAGATGTACTTGGAAAAGAGAAACTTAGTACAAGGTTCCTTCATTTTCATGAAGCATATCTATACATAACAGCATATTCAATTGATAGATTCCATTTGCATTAACCTGTGCAAAAAAAAAGAGGACAAGGTAATTTTATGATGTTATTTAAAAAAAGTCACCTAAAGGTATCTGTTTTTTTCCCAAATGTTGTGTGATCACCAAAAGGACAAACACTTCTCTACCTCTGTATTGCTGTTCTCAAGGAAGAAATGCAGAACCTTTAAAAAAAAGTGCATAAAGAGAGCACTGAAACTAATCATTTTGGAACTCTGTCAGGCCTGTGAAGTAGGCCCAGTAATCATCTCTTGTCTTTTTCATCCCTTGTATTGATTTCTGCGGCCTTTGGAATGCAAATCCTCATTCATCTGGAGAGTAGAATGTGGAAAAGCAGCAGTGATGCTGTTTGCACTGGCTCAGCCAACTGCATGAAACCCACTGTGTTGGCTGCTTCAGCTCAGCCTTGCTGCTTTGTGAGTGCTCACGATCCATGACAATATAAATTGTTTTTGTTTTAAGGATGAAATTCTGAAAGCAGCTGTGATGAAATATGGCAAAAACCAGTGGTCTCGTATTGCTTCCTTATTGCACAGGAAATCAGCAAAGCAGTGCAAAGCCAGATGGTAAGTGACAAATGCCATTACTCAGAATGTGAGGTTCGTAATTAGTGGCAATTTAGAAGCTACTGCAGATGAATTTATGTCCACAATAGAACAATAGTTTAAGATTGTTTGATTCTGTTATTGTAGATATTACAAATTGCTGTTGATTAACAGTAATGGGAACAAAAGTATAAATGTTCACTTCGTCAGTGACTGTCAGCAAATGCAGGATCGTGTTAAGTGTGTACATGATTTCTTTTTCCGTATCACATGTTTTAAATGAAAACACGTATTTCCAATGAAGTAAAATTAGAATTAGTGGAATATCCTGAATTGGAAGGGACCCACAAGGATCATTGAGTCCAATTGTCAGGTACTAAACTCTCTTTCAGATAATTTTCTGACAACGGCAGTTTTGGCTTGAGGATGAATGTTTAGAAACTGCACTGTGAAATTTCAGTTTATGTCAAAAATCGGAAGCCTAAAACTAATGCAAATAGATGCAGCATGAACCCATTTCAAAATCCAGCTGATCTGGCATAGTCTGAAGTAGTACATGTATTTATTGGAATATTTCTGCATAAATTAACTGTACTGGCACAGTTAAAGGTGAGTGAAAGAGTCATTGAAAGCCATACCAAATGAGCTTATTTCTGATAACTTTGGTTATTGAGATTTTTACCTTTTTCTGAGTTAAATTTCTGTCTCCTTACTTTGCTAGAATAGAACAGGGGAATGGATTAGGAGTCAGTGTCTGTATTAATGGATTAAAAATACATTTTAAAGCTCAAATAGTTTTTTTTTTTTAATAAAAATACCGTGTAGTAATATATCCTTTTGTATAGGAAAAAAAAAACACAACATGTCTGAAATATGCATAACAAGATTTTGAAATGTCATTGTGATGATTTGGGGAAAGACTGTTGTGAACTAATTCAAGACAAATCATTGGATAACTTGGAATTGTATCTCATTTTGTTTTTTTCACTTTTGAACAGGTACGAATGGCTAGACCCAAGCATCAAAAAGACAGAGTGGTCACGGGAAGAAGAGGAAAAACTGTTGCACCTGGCCAAGCTAATGCCAACCCAGTGGAGAACTATTGCCCCAATTATTGGGAGAACTGCCGCACAGTGTTTGGAGCACTATGAATTTCTGCTGTGAGTTACAGTGCTTTGCTGGAGGTGCATTACAGGAAAATGTGCAGAGTTTGTTGTATTGATATGTCATTTGCTTCTCCCATGGTGCCGAAGTTGACAGTCCTTTTGTAAGCAAGCCCTTAAGGACTGTTTCTTTTCAATTAGTGTGTCTAACATCAAGAAAGAAGCATCTCAAGTGTTCTTTTTTTTTTTTCACGAGGTTTGATTTCTTGTCCTCATTGTTAAAGGTTACCGGAGCCGAGTTTTCTACCATTGGCTTTGTCAGTATTTTATATAATTTTTTATAATTTATATAATTTTATATATAATTACAATACATGGTACAAGCTTAATTTTTCATCTGTTTAGGGGAGATTTAAGAAAGGGTTGCTTTTTATGCACCTGTGGGAATACAAAGCCAGTTCTGACATACATGCAATGTGTTTTTAGGGACAAAGCTGCTCAGAGAGACAATGAGGAAGAAACTGCCGACGATCCTCGGAAACTTAAACCTGGAGAAATTGATCCAAATCCAGAAACCAAACCAGCCAGGCCAGATCCTATCGATATGGATGAAGGCAAGAAGTTGTTCACTGCTTTTGACGGATATCTTCTGTCTTTGGTTTTTCTATTTTCTCAGCTTCTGTACCCGGGTGTTTTTTGTGCCTTATTTTTAATTCCTCCTTAGAGATATTTTTGTTTCTTTTTCATATGTATTTTATCTTATTTATGTGTCTGGAAAATTGGTTCTAGTTTTTCAATCTTCTCTTTTTGGTAGGCTTCCTGCCTTCCCATTTGTTTTTGTCATTTCTTGCCTCAACTTCCTCTTTGTTGCTTTAATGACTGCACTGCCCATGATGATTGTTATTTCTGTATCTTCATCTTTTCCCACCAGCTGATACCTCCTGGTTGAATCCGTACTGAAGTGCAACAGTGCGTGGCTTTTTTCCTTGCACATTACAATTTTAGGAATTAAGAATTGCACGTTGATAAAATTGTATGAATGGACCAGTGGTGGTTTTGAACAGTCATAGGTTCACAAATACAGCATCCTTGGATCTAGCTGGAAATGATATTAATAAATTAACCAATACAGTACTCATGGATCCAGACACAAATGAAGTTATTTCATTTTGTTAGTGCAGTCAATTTGCCACTTTCTAAATATATTTTGATTTGCTGTAGAAATTAGTTGAATTATTTTTAACAGTAGACGTTTTAACTTGAAATCTTTGCTTCATCAGGCTAATTAGAAAATATATTGCAACAACTTGAAGAAAACTGAAGTTTAGCGATCATGCACAGCTCCTGTGAAAACATTGATTCATTCAGCTTTTAAACGTTGCTTTCTAACCCTAATGTCACATTTCCCCTTACTGCTATTTTTAAGTATATTGTATTTATCTACACTATTGCAGATGAACTTGAAATGCTGTCTGAAGCTCGAGCTCGTCTGGCTAATACGCAGGGAAAGAAGGCGAAAAGAAAAGCAAGAGAGAAGCAGCTGGAAGAAGCTAGGTAAGCTTGTGCTTAGCTTTAGATGCTGGGGCTTCTTTTGTGGACTCTGGAGCATATAGAATGTATATAGTCAGGCTTAAGTCATTTCAGAATCAGACTTTTTCATGAATACATTTTCGTATGAATACATGCAGTGCTATCACACCAGCAGTTGATGATAGTACCAGCTCTTGGGACAGAGGAGCCACCTATGGGTAGGCACTTCAAATCACAGTATTACTGTTTCTTTAGACGTCTTGCTGCTCTTCAGAAGAGACGAGAACTTCGAGCTGCTGGGATTGAGATACAGAAAAAAAGGAAAAAGAAGAGAGGTGTGGATTATAATGCAGAAATTCCATTTGAAAAGAAACCCGCACCTGGTTTTTATGATACATCAGAGGAAAACTATCAGATTCTGGATGCAGATTTCAGAAAGCTACGTCAGCAAGACCTGGATGGAGAATTAAGATCGTAAGTATGTGTTATATTAGGGAGGGAACAGTGTATTGGGGGAAAAACCAACAAACACACAAAAAATATGTGCATGCTGATGTGTTTATATACATATGTATGTGCTTATATATATTTTATGTACGTTATATATATTAATAAATCATATAACGTATTTATACAAAACATAAAATGTATAGTCAAAAGTCTATAAATTTATAAACAATATACATATGTTATACATACATAAGCATGTATTTGGCATATATATAAGTATATAAAGATAAATACAATAAATAATAATGAAATGTACTAGGTCCTGGAAGTGTCTGAAATAGAACTTGGGCAGGGGTTATGTTTTCCATGTGACAGATGTTAGTGCAGGTCTTTTTCTGCACTTTTTTGTGCAGAAAAAAAAAAAGATTATCTGTCTTTTTTTTTTAATCTTTCTAAAAGATCTTATTAACCTTTTCTGCATGAGAATAGAAGACCTTATAGACATTGGCGCTCTTTATATGGAAATCTTGAGTTTGAGGTTCATTTTGTTATAGCAATAGATTACTCATAATATTGCAGTCCTTTCTCCAAGTCAAAACATTATAAATGTTGCTTATAGGAGTAACTTTTACTTATTGCAGTAGTACTTTTGATAGGAAAATAGTGTAATAATTCAATTAATAATCTTAAGTAGAATTTCCTTAAATGCTTAATTTCTTCCCCTGCCACAAATCTCCCACCACTCAGTTGAGAATTCAAAGGCATATCTTCAGCAGTAGCAGTATGGCACGTATTTAATTGTAGAATTGCATTCCCTGTTCCTCCTGCCCTGTGCTTTTTACAGAGAGGGTAGGTCCAGTACTACATGCAGTTTGGTTTATTAGCTTGTGGTATATTTAATTCTTTATATATGTCTTTTAGTTTAGAGAGTCTGGTAGGAGGTTCAAACTGCTATGTATTTCTAAGTTATGATCTCACAGACTGACTCCATTGCTGTATGAAGAAAATACCATATTCATTAAACGCTGAGAACTTAGGTCCCATATTCCACAGAAAATATTCTTCCTTTAGCAGCTGCCGGAGGAAGAGGACCCACTGATTCTAACTGTGTAAATTCCCGAATGGGCATTTTGTCTTGCTTCATAACCCTGTTGACTGTAGCTGAAGCAACAACCACCTGTTGCCTAGTTCTGTAATGTAAAAGCATTACACACTGTTGTTGTAGGTTCTGCAGCAAGATCTGTAGATCCTATCTAATCACTTAACTTGTACACCACAAGTCAGTTCACTCTTCCCAAAACATGATTTCAGCATATCCAGCTTTTGCTAGGGTACAGGCTTTTTGTTCTTTGTTTTACTTTGTAACTGTTCTAAAATGATTCTCTTCTCTGTATTAATAGTGAAAGGGAAGGACGAGAGCGCAAAAAAGACAAACAGCATATGAAGCGGAAAAAAGAATCAGACTTGCCTTCAGCTATTCTGCAGACCAGTGGGGTGTCAGAGTTCACAAAAAAAAGAAGTAAATTAGTGCTTCCAGCACCTCAGGTAAATAGTGCATTGATCAATAACCAACTTAAACGCCCAGTGCCAATCAGCAGTTTCTGTTCTGTCAGTTGGATCTTGTGATCATACTATACCTGGGGATTTTCTCTTTGCAGGAAGGCATAACCTGATCAAAATCCATAAGCCTAGGTGGAAGATTGATCTTGGAGTGATTTTTTTCAAGTGGAGTTGGTGGGAAATGTCAAGGGAGATGTGTTGTATTATGTGTTTGGACCTTCTGTGTATGGGAATGGGGTGTATCTTGTGGCCATATTTTAGAAACCGAAGTTTTATTCCTTAGTTGGTTTCAGCATACAAGTGGCACTAATGTAGTACACACCTGGGAAGTGGGTAATGGTGTGAGGAGACTGTTCTGTAGTGCTTTTAAAACAAATGTCAAGTACCTTCTGATGTACAACAGGCGTTTAGTTTTTCTAAAGATAATGTGTTTGTGGTTGTTTTCTTTTTAAAGATATCTGATACAGAACTTGAAGAAGTTGTAAAAGTCGGCCAGGCGAGTGAGATTGCACGCCAGACTGCTGAGGAATCTGGAATTACAAACTCAGCTTCCAGCACTCTGTTGTCTGAATACAATGTGACCAACAACAGCATAGCCTTGAGGACTCCGAAAACTCCAGCAGCACAAGACAGGATCCTGCAGGTAGAGTATAAACGGACAGAATAATCTCGTGGGTTTAGTGCAGTGGTCAGTTGAATAAAAGATGTAAGTACCACCAAAGCATTCCTTAGATGTTGTATGTTGCTGGGGTTTGAACGGGTACATGATCTGCAGGACACACTGAAAGGTGTAGATGGAGTCCCACTTCTATCTGATCAATTGTTTTTTAGCAAGTTTAGCTTTAACCATTCTCCTGGTGCCTTGTATAGTTCCTCTTTGTGTAACTCACATCCTTTAAACAATTTATTTTATGTTTTTTTAACTTAGTTTGGTATCCAGCTTTTTTTTTTTTCAATTAACTAAAACAATAAAATAATATTTTTCTAGCACTTTATTTGCTTAAAAACACTTAAGATGAGGATTCTTAAAAACCCTAGCTGTGCAACTCTGAATTACATTCGTGTTGCAGTGATTGTGTGAATGTCTCAGTTCTTTTAAAAACTGGTAGCACCAGGAAATGGCTAAATGAAATCATTGCTGCTATTTTGTAAAAAAATAAAATAACATGTTGATAATGACTTGAATATTGAGTCACTAATGAATCTTGCAAATTTATGTAGTCTGACAAACCAAAGGAATTTGAAACATTAGTCAACCCACTCATATTTGCAATTCCAATTGTTAACATATATGACTGGCAATGAAGATTAAAATTGCTTTCAGGAGAACTGTAGGGTTTGTAAATAACCTGTGTACTGGTGTTAAAAAGGGTTAAACATTTTCTACAAACCGGTTGATATTCAAATAGCCCTTCAGCTGTTCTTATTGATACTGAATCTGTGAAACATGTATAGCAGAGTGATTCTGAAAGTCTTGGTTAATGTACTGTCTGTGCTGTCTGTTCCACAGGAAGCACAGAACCTGATGGCTCTCACCAATGTGGATACCCCCCTGAAAGGAGGTCTTAACACACCCTTGCATGAAAGTGACTTTTCAGGGGTAACTCCCCAGAGGCAGGTTGTTCAGACTCCAAATACTGTGCTTTCCACGCCCTTCAGGTAAAAAAAAAAAAATGTGTTTTTGTAACGGGTGCTTGGCTGAGCACGTATCTGATGGACTGAAGGAAGCGGCTGTCAATGTGTAAAGTAATAGGATATGACCAGTGCTGCAAAACAAACTCTAACCCCCTTTTATTTCAGTCTCTTGTTGAACAACTTTCTCCTTTTCTGTGTCTTTTGCAAGCTCAGCCACATTATCTTCATCTGTATATGTATAGTTTGAAGGAATTTTGGTCCAACATGAGCTCTTCTGCGGTCTGGAGCAATATAAGTTATACGGGAGTAATACAGGAGTATAAATAGTAAGATGGCATGTCATTCTGCGTGTGGATTCTAGCCTTTCCAAAGTATTACCTCTGAGCTGAAGGTGTGGGAGGTCCCTTAGCCAAACCCACTTGGAACTTTTGAAAAGCTGGGGTAAATATTTTATAAGCCATATATATCCAAAATAAAATATTTCTTATACTGCCAATCTAAATAGTATGGAATTGTTAGTTTAGCTCTTAGAGTGGGTCCTGAATAAATATATATCCCACAAAAGCCAAATAGCATAGAGCTAAAAAATATTACACTTTGTACATTTTGTCTGTCAAATTTTTCAACTTAGGTTCTATTTATACTTGTACCGTGCCGTTAGGAAAAGCAGAGAATGAAATAAAAGGGACCTTTATGGCAGCTTTTCAAAAGCAGCTTTATTTTGTTATTTAAAAGTTGTATGCAAAAGCCCTGCTCTTTTAATTGGATCTACACAAATGATCTGTTGGAGTCAGTGGAGTGCAGAATGAATATAGGGTTTGGCCCGGAGTGATCTGGCTGCTCATTTGGGTTATTTTATATCAAAAAAACATTCTGATTCTAAAGACATTCTGATTTTTTTTTTGTCTGTTTGTCTTCTGCGGTGTGGGGTTTGGGTTTTTCTGTGTGTGTTCTTAGCTTCTGAAGTTCAGATTTGCCCGTGTAAGTATGGTAGCTTTGTGTCCATTTGGCTTGCTATAATTCATAGTTCCATATCAGTTTGAAAATCCAAGACCTTGAGAGGGGAAAAAAAATCCACGAGGTTGTTAACAATAAATAAAAGGAAGCTCTAACTTAAGCAGTCAGAGTAGTAAAGTAGAGCCATTGTCTAATGGCAAATAGAGGAAGTATTTAGGTACACCTTTTTTTCCTACGATGTCATGAAATCTGTAATATTTTGATGTAAGCTCCTTATGGAAGTTGTTGTCTTCCATTAGATTTTATTGTGTCAGGTCATAGTAGTAAGAATTACAAAGTTGAATCTTACATGTTGAAAAATTTAACGGGTATTTAAACATTGTGTGTAACTGAGACAACTGGAAAAAAAGCTATCCACTTACCTAGAAACTGTTTCTCCTGAAAAGTTATCATAAAGCTTTTTTTTTTGCTAGTATGATCAACAAAGTAAATATATCCTATGAAACAGTCATTTGAAAACACAAAATGATTTTTCTTCTGCTTTTTTGTGGGTATCATCCTGCAAATGTTACTGTCTGTATTTGTTATTCTAAAAGAGTTCCTAAAAGTCTGAACAGCCTCAGGTGAAAGAAAATTGTCACTGGCTACTCACAGCCATGCTCAGTTAATAAGGCGCTGTGGTATCCCTTAGAAGAGGACCAGTAGAGCATGTCAGGCCTTGTATGCAACTGTTTATCCACTGTTATGGCATCTTACTGGCACTGCAGAATTACAGTTACCAGTAGTGGAAATAATGTATTAAACCATCTTGTCCTGTTTGTCTCTGCCAGGGTTATTCTCTACAGCACATTCAGTTTTCATTGCTGCCTGAACATGTTTACTTAGGTGCAGATGAGTACCATAGCGTAGGTTTTTTTATACCAATTTTACCCCTTCCTGAACCTGTTTTCTTTGGGATGTTTACCAGTGTCTTACCATTTTTTTTTTATTAATGTTGTGTTTCTCACACTGTGTGGCCAAGAGAAAACTTGTAAAGTGCACAGACATGGCCCTGGATACAGTCACACTCTTTCATGCAGTAGGTTCAGTAGGATGGAAAACAATATTTCTTGTCAGTCTAGAGAAGTAGCAATTGAGGCCTACAGAATCTAAAACTTACTCCATCTTGCCTAACCTTGGGTGTTTAAAAGTGATTAGTATAATACAATTATCTCTTCAATAATCAATTAAAGCAAAGACCTGTCTTTGGGGCAATTCATTAGGTTGTAAGATGGGACAGCTGTTAAGCCATCTGAATTCAGAGTGAATGGCTTGCCCCAGGTGGTGGGGAGGTCAGAGGTTGCAATTAAATCCTGATTGCTGTATCCCAGAATGGGGACTGGTGACTGGGTGATCTCTCCTCAAAAGCAGTGCTGGGGGTTGATGTAGTTCCTAAAGATTCTCTTAATGTGTTGATGTGCCTGAAAGATCCTTGTGTACACTTTGATAGGTTTAAATAACTTATTTGATTCTTTTAATTGCATATTATGTTTTCACAGCCTCACACATGCAACTGGATTGAATGTGTTAATTGTATTGTGTAACTTTCTGCAGCACTCGGATGTTTGAAAGTAAAAATATTTTTGGGGAAAAAAAACAAATCAAAGTCGTATTTGCACTTCCTCTAGAACACCTTCTCAAGGACAAGAAGGCTTAACTCCTCGTGGAGGACTAACTCCTAAGCCTGTGGTTGGTACAACTCCTGGTAGAACTCCATTACGTGATAAATTGAACATCAACCCAGAAGAGGGGATGGCAGACTACAGTGATCCATCTTATGCAAAACAACTGGTAAGAACTGTATACGGAGTGGAGGTGAATGCTCTGTTAACTTTCAGGTTTTTAATTTCTCATCTTCTGACCAGAACTTTATAACAAGTGCTATTTCTACCATTTGCCTACAGGTCTGTATTTATCACCTGATAAAATCAAATCTTTGCATTGTCATACTGTCAAGAATTTATTTGAAAGAACAGAGATACTGCCAGTTAAAACAGCTTTGACTGTGTTTAGTGAAAGCACACCAGAATTATTCATCAAAGAAGATGTAGTTAAGTTTCAGTCTTACTTCTATCTTTGAAGCTGAGCAGGAAGTATATCTAAAGATTCAGTTTTCTTGCAGTCCTACTCATTCCTCAAATTCCTCATCATCCTGGCTTCCCAGTTTACCTACAGGGTCTTTTAATCAGTTTGTCTTGTTGACAACATTGAGCTGAAGGAGTTTAATTTTTGCCATAAGGAGCACTTGGTTTTAAGGTGTTCATTAATCTGAGTCCATCGTGATTCTTTCATCACCTTTGGCAACAGATGTTTCCTTTCCTGGAGATGCAGCCAGATGTACCTTGCCAATTAGACTTGGCATAAAAAGGGCATATAACTAATGGGTAGCACCTTGGGAACTTCTTTTATGTGGCTGATTCTGCAGCCCTAATGGTGGCTTTGCATATCTCCCACCAGAGCTATTGACGTGTTTCTTTTTAGTCCTAGCTAAGAATATCCTCTTCGAATTTTTAGCATGTTCTTCTCACAGAAATAACTCTTTGACTTCAGAATTTCTTTCAGCTTAAAGGACAAGGCTTATTTGTATTTTGGTTCTATATTAGCCTTTTTGTCATAAGAAAGGAAACGGGATTTGGTTTCCGTATGGACTCCACTGACTTCCAGATCCGGTGGTGTTTGTGTCATTTTTGTCCTGTGCAGCAATCCACAGATATGTGACCAACTGCTGTGAGAAAAATTCTAGTTAGCCTTACAAATAGTCTCATGTCCATCATCAGTATGGATGCATTTTCACATATTTTCAATTTTGGAAAGGCAAATATGTGTGTCTCCATGGTTGTACTGACACTATTGGGAGGGGAAGGTGCCAAGCTGTTGTTTTGTATACTTTATATATTTGTATGTTTCAGTACCTGTCTTTAAGAAAGCTGAAAGTTGTCCTTTAGCATCAGAAAGTTTCTCTGTATGTTATGTGAATAAATTTTGGGTAGTGGTATATAGGCTAGCCTGGATTAGTAATGTGTCCCCTTTTGTCAGACCTCAAAAATTCTGTTTTTATTTGATTTGCGTATTTGCGTATTACTTGTGTGTTGTTCACATCTGTTGATGCAGATGAATGGAATTTTGTCATACTGTGCATCAATGCATGAATTCAGAAACACATCTTACTAATATTCTGATAGGAGAGAGAGTCTCGTGAACACCTGCGCCTCGGGCTCATGTCCCTTCCTGCTCCAAAGAACGACTTTGAGATTGTTTTACCTGAAAATGCAGAAAAAGAACTCGAGGAACATGAAGTAGATGAAGCCTTTGTGGAAGATACGGCTGATATAGAAGCCCGCAAGCAGGTAGGTGTATGTAATGCAGATAGTGCTATTTCTTTAAAACAAAATACATTCATTTTATGGTTTCACAGTGTCATACATGTTAAGTGGAGATGGTACAGCTTCTACAGAATAACAGGAAAATGTACTTGTTCACTGTGGTGGCAGCACAGAAAAACAGATACAAATTCAGGCAGGCTGGTGGAACACTTAGAGATCTACTAAGGAGTGAATTATTCCCCATTTGTAGGGGGTTACCACAGGATTACTCAGGCAGCCAAGTTGTGAATGGGTTTCTGTTGTTGTTGTTTCAGAATTAAAGCCTGGAGAAAGTGATAGTTTGTTTTAACAAGTGAACAAAACAATTAAGACCACACAAACTATGCTCTGATATCTGTTAAGTGTATCCTAAAGCGTCCCATTTGGGGAGGAACAAATTGTGCACATATAGGCATCTGTTGCATGTAATAAAATAATAGAAGTCTGCATAAACATGGATAATTTAGGTGTGTGAAATAGAGAAAAAAATCAATTTCTAATATCAACTAAAATAATAGCAAACTGCCTTTCAAATGGAGGCATTACATGTCTAGGATCAGAACATCGGAGGTATTGGTCATCATCCCTGAAGTTTTACGCAATATTTCCTTTTCATTTTGTATGGAAAAAAAAAAAAGAACTTAAGGAGAAAAAGCAGTATGTAAGAAGAAATCTCATGTTTTCATATGTTCACAAGTATTGTTTCACTGAAGTATGTCGTAAAAGAGGACAAAGATTTAAGAGTCTCTTACTGGCAGGTTTCCTATTTGGAGAGTTAGAGCAGAAGTAAAACCTGATGTGGAAAAATTTATAAAGGACTAAGTCTGCTTGGGATGAACGAAAATATGATGGCTTGAAATAGCTTTTTAGGATCGCTGTCACAGTTAGTCTGCTGTAGTCTTCTTGTTAACTTGAGTCGCAGTAAATTATGTCATGCGAAGTGTGACCTACTCTCTGTTTTAGTACTTCAAGGAACTTTTGCTGCAGGAATTAGTTCTTTTTATCACATGTATTTGTAAGAAGCATCCGATTGTATTGCAGCAGCTGGAGTAACACTTAGCTTGTTTGTCTAGGCTCTCCGAGAGGCAGAGCGTGCGAAGGAACTGAAGAGAATGCACAAAGCTGTTCAGAAAAATCTGCCGCGTCCCTCAGAAGTAAGTGGAAACAAAATTCACTTTGAAGAAAACAATGCAGGTTTTAACCATTGTAGGAGGAAATACAGCCTAGGTAGATCATGAAAGAATGAAATCCTTATTTGACTATGCTGATTTCAGCTTTTCACGTTGAAAATGTTCTAAGGTATTTCATACTTGCAGCCAAAAATACAACTGGGTTTGGGTTGCTGTATCTGTTTCATGCAGCAAGGGTTTCTGGCACCTGTTCACGTGGTTTAACTGATTTAAAATCATGTTTAAATAGAAGTATATGAATTTAATGTGCTCTTTGGTAATACGGTGTTTATGATTTTTTTTTATTATTATTCTTGGGCAGGTTAATGAAACAATATTGAGACCCTTGAATGTGGAGCCACCTCTAACAGATTTGCAGAAAAGTGAAGAGCTAATAAAGAAGGAGATGATTACTATGCTTCATTTTGATCTTTTACACCATCCGTTTGGAGACCAGTCTAGCGGTAAGAAGGGGAAAGGCCCAGGATTTGGAACCAACAATGCAGAACATATGGCTTACTTGGAACAAAATCCTTACGAGAAGTTCTCCAAAGAGGATCTCAAGAAGGTGAGAATTGTACAGCCTAATTACCCCTGACCTGAAAAAAAAAGAAAAAGAAAGTGGATTCAAGCCTGTACAGACTTGGGAAATCTCCAGAGCATTGTGTGAGGAGCTGTAAGGGTAACTTAAGTGTATGTTTTTGTTTTTTTTTTCTTATGAGCTAATGTTCATCTCAACACTCAACAGGATGATAATGATGTATTTGTCCACAGACACAGTCTTCTGGATACAATTTTGAATGTGTTGTGATTGTTTATCATTTGAAGTGAGAGTAGGAGCTATAAGCCCTCCACATTTATCAAATTCTACTTTGCCTGACCTATAAAGTGATATTAAAGTACAGACACTTCAATTCCATATGGTATCCTCCTTGTGCTGCCTGTGTTGACTGTTAAGCCAGGATTACAAAGCATTTGTTTTCTTCATAGCAGTGCAGACGAAGTATGACAGTGGTAGCTAGCTTATAACTTGAAGCAGCAAATGGGGTTGTTTAATGATGCCTCTCAGGCTTGATCCAGCACAGCAGTGCCTCTTGCAAAGCCTGCTGGGCTGTGGCAACTGATCTTAAAGTACCCCTGGTTAAAGTGCTGAATAGGCAGAACAGGTTGTCACTGGACAAAATGAGAGTGTCTAGGCATTCTGTCCTCTTCTGCGTTGTAATCCCAAGCTAAATATCCTTGTACTGAGGCTTCCAGTTCGGGCTGTTCATTTATTTAAACATCTACAGATGTTGTGCTTGCTGCCAAGTGACAGACAGTTTAGACACACAAGGCTGTGGTTAGCTCTTTCAAAGAGCTTCACCTGTGAAGTTGTGCCAGTAACCTTTTACGAAATGCTTACAGGAATAAAAATGATTGAAAAGGACAAAATCACATGCCACCAAATCATGTGTTGTTATGCAGACTCCTGCTATCTGTAACTTGTATTCTGACAAGAGCTGTGGTAGCTCAGATCCTAAATCGCGTATTACTTTAAAGTGACTCTACAGATAAACAAGCAGATTTTAGATCTGTCTCCTTGACCATAGCTGACCAATGAATCAAGAGTCTAAAATAAAAAAACACTGGACAGTATGTACTTTAATTTGCTATTAAGTGAAAGATTACACTTGCAGATTCCTTAGCAGGAGAAATTAAAGATGGAAAATGCAGTTAGATCATGAATCTCACTGCTCTGACAGTGTCAAATTGTTCCCTTAGGATCAGCCTCTGAGTGCCTTCTCTTGTTTGTTTTGAAGTACAACAAGAACTGAGTTTGCTGTCACTTCATTTGGACTTGTTACACAGTCCAGTAGTTTTTGTCTGGAAATTTCCTTCAGAGTCCCTAGAAATTTTTCTCTCTTAACTGATGGGCAGTTCTTTCTTCATACTTGCTCTCTAACATTTAGAATAATACTCCCTGTTTGTTTAAAATCAAATTCAGGCCAAGTAGTATTCCTATCTGTACCCCTGTCTGGGGTTTGTTTGCTTTCCTTTTTTTTTTTTTTTTTTTTTTTGTTCTAGAGCATGTTCTACTAAAATCCCTTCAAAAAATGCTCCTTTCTTTTCCTGATATGTAGTGTTCTTTTGGGAAGGATTAGCAGTGATGGTATATGCAGTGTTGTGAGCTGTGGAGCTGTTTTGCTGTCACAACTAGTCTAAGTAGTTACAGTGTACAAACAGCTGCTAATTGAAATTGAATTTATGTAAGCTGCAACTTTGTCAGGTGTGGCTGGAGTACTTCTACTTTATCTGATTTGACCATCCAGGACAAGTGATTAATTTTTCTTTCCCTGGTATCTCTGGAGTGATTTAATCTAGCAATGCTTTGAAATACATGCTTCCTGGACAGTACATGCTTCCTGTTATACAATATAGGTCAGCATCCTTTGAGATATCTGCTGGTGATACAGAAATTAGCAGAATGCTTGTAAATCCTGTTGAAAGGGTGGAGACCCACTTGTAATCAACGAAATCCAGATCAGCAAACATGTTTACGTGTTCAGTTGCAAATAAATCGTGAAGAGCTTGGTGCCTGTGTAGCTCTGTGGGTTAGATTCTTTGTCGGTATTATGAGTTGTGAAAACAACATGGGTCCTTCCCATTAATTGTGATGTACTTTGGAAACTGAACTGGTAAGAGGAGAAAGCTCCTAGCTCAGTAGTAATTCTCTACAAACAGTGTGTGCTTGTTAGAGGAGCCTTTCCTGCATAAAAGCTTATGCAGCTCATCCGTTAATGTTTAAAGTTGACTTTCCACACTGTGTGGAAAAGGGCAAGCAAAAGGAAATGAAAAGTGATTTTTGTTGCATAGAACAGCTGCTTCTGTCTTTGTAGTTCTCCTTCCCCTCAAGGTCCCTGCTTTTATCTCTGTTCTTCTGCAGCAAGATGAAATATCTGGTTGTGCCATAGCTTTCATTAGCTACAGCGGAGTGATGTCAGGTTTGGCCAAATTATATAAAATGAGGGATAGTTGTGCTGTGAGTAGCCTTCTAGCCTGGGTTTCATTTATAATCCACAGCATCTGTGTTAGATTTTGTAGTTAGCTTAACCTGATGGTGAGCTTTTGGTATGCAAAGAGAAACTGCCCCCATGAAATGTGCGCTGAAGGACTGAAAACGAGGAATTTTCTTGTCCCTGTGTATTGTAACTGCAATTTATTTCTCATCATTTCCAACAGGCACAGGATCTACTGGCACAAGAGATGGAAGTGGTAAAGCAAGGAATGGGGCATGGAGAGCTCTCAAGTGAAGCTTATAACCAGGTGTGGGAGGAATGTTACAGCCAAGTGTTGTATCTGCCCGGACAGAGCCGCTACACAAGAGCTAACTTGGCCAGCAAAAAAGACAGGATAGAGTCACTTGAGAAGAGACTTGAGGTCAGTGTCATTTTTGTCTGCTTTTGCATCTGTTTTTTTTTTTTCTTGTTCCTTTTTTTTTTTTTTTTAATAAGAGGTATCGGTCACTTTATAAATTAGGTCTTTTGGTGGGATTCCTTTGAAAAGGTTGTTAAGAAATTCTCTTAGGGTCTTCATAGATGTTCTTGAGGTGTTCAAATTGCCTTCTGTCCTTTTCTCAAAGTATTCTTACAGTATTCTCCTGCACAATGTCCCTTTGCACTATTAGCTGTAAGACTGACTGCTCATGTCACCCCTTTATTCTCACCTGTAGAGAAGGTCAGCCTCTGCTCTCATGTAGTTCCATGCGGTTTGTTTGCAGGTTTCTCAATCTCTGCTATTAGTGGATGAGATACCAGCTCTCTCTGGTTTTTCATTTTGTCTCTGGTAGTGGGCAGTACAAGATACTTCAGAGAAGGATGCTTTAAAACAACCTCTGTCCCAAACCCCTCTCAAGTTGTTTTCAAATCCAGAGTTGGTTTCTGATTAATAGAAATTTATGGAATACTTTTGCCATTGACTATTACATACGTGAAGGTTCAGCCAATTCCAGTGGTCCCCCAAAATGAAAACAGTGGATATTTGTGTTTCTCCATTACCAGGAAGTACAAGGCTTATTCATGCTTACATTTAAAACTCAAATCTTGAGTTTGGTGTCAGTGTTTGCTTCACAAATACTTCCTAAAAGCACAGAATGACAGAGGTCAGATGGCAACATCTCACGGATGTGCCTGCATGCAGTCTGAGCACTATGGGAGAGCACTGGTACGAGGGGGGCAAGAACTGAAACGAGACCTTCCTGCTGCTTTCTGAGCTGTACAGGGCAGCGTTCTCCAGTGCCAACTTGCTTGTGCTCATTTATTCAAAATGCAGCAGTCACAAGCCTTAACGAGGCTTTAAGATTTGATGAAGTTACCCTTCCTGGGTTGCTGCTTTTTTTTTTTTTTCTTTTTTTTTGAGTTACTTCACAGTCTGTTTCACATGTTCATCCTCCAATTTGTTTCTTATCTTCCATTCCAGCTCTGCTGAGCTCCTCTATTTTGAGCTCTCCCAACCTCTGTCATGTTTCTTGGAGGAAGAATGCAGTGTAACTGCACAGTTAAAGGGTTCTGAGAGTTTGTTTGAAATGTAAACTACAAGGAATACACACGAACTCTATTGACTCACCCATCCAAATCCCATCAGAGCCCTCATCTGAGGAAAAAGAAGAGTTTTGCAGATGGGTTGTACCACTTGGAGCAGCTTCTTGATCTGGTTTGTGACACAGTGTAGGACTCCACTAAGCCAACAGTGGGTTTACTGAGACTGGGTGATTCCTTGTTTTGAGGCTTTTGTTTGGTTCAGCAGCAGTTGGCAGTGCTGTGTGTGTATATGTTGCACATACAGCTTGCAGTTTCCCGGTATGATCGGTTAGGGGTGTTAGTGGGGAAGAGATCATCTGAGGTATAGTGCACTAACTAAAAAAGAGCAATTCAAACCTTTTGACACTGATTTCTAGACCGTCACCCAAATGCTCCACTAAAAATGCAAATGTACGCAGCTTTTATGATAAAAGGTAAGCTAGGTTTAAATGGTTTCTTCCCACAAAACACTTGAAGTAAATCATCAACTGTTCTCCAAAATACCATTTTAGCCTAAAAGATTCTCTAAGTTATGCAGGCATGTGAGCATTTTTCCTTCCTTTGTAAAAGGAAACTCAAATTTTTAGGTTCTTCTGTATTTAGCGTCAACATAGCTACCATTGGTGGAAGTAAACATCCTCAAACAGATACTGACACAGAAATTACATGAGAGGGAAACCAGAAAGGCTGAATGTTCACTTGGCTCCCACATGAGATACAGAAAGAGCATGTGTTCTGTGAAGTCTGTTGGTCGTGACTTGTCCACGCGTAATTTCCCCAGTTGTTAGCCTCCTGTTTGGGCTGCGAGCCGTTCACATCCGTGCTGATGCTAAGCCCCTGTCGTGCTGCTGCTTGCCCAGCAGAGAGCACCATCGCCCTGCCGAAGGCTGTCAGCCTGTCACTGCACCCTTCGGAGCTCTGCTCTGCTGCATTTCCATTTAAAAAAAAAAAAAAAAAAGAAGAAAAACTCTGAGCACAGCAGCACCCAGGCTTACAGGGCAGCAGGGGCTGCGCTGGCCTCGAGCCAGCACGCTGAGGGCTGTACCTAATTTGCGTATGAACGCTTTTGAAATTTCAATATTTTACGCCCCAAACTGCATTAGGAGAGTGAGTTATTATTAAAGTCACAAAGTCAAGCGGTTGAAGTTAGGGAATGCACAGGCAGCCTTCCTCTGGCAGCCTTGATTTGCCTACGCAGATGCGTTATGAGACAGCCTTTAATTTTGTGATTACAGCCTAGTTTTTTTTTCCACAGACTCATTTACTGCACAGGATGGATGGTGCTTGCTTAATGAGTAGCTATTGAATATTTTGTTTTCTCTTCATTGTTCAGTGTGTGGCCCAGTGCCTTTATGCTGCAGATTATTGCTGAAGTCTGAATTGGTTACTTCTGTGTGGGCTTCCTCGTGCTGTTAGTCTATCTCCTCCCAATATTTGAATGAGAAGTTGCCAGTGGCGTGCTCGCTGAGGGTATTGAAGCAAAGACAGATCAAATCATCCCTTTGTCAAACTCCTGGTGCGTTCGCTCATTGCTCTGTAGTCAGCTAGGAAATGCAGTACAAATTGGAGGGTCTGTCAAGAAAAAACTGTTTTAATTCACTTACCAACATTGCGTGGGGTTCCACAGAAGGGAGAGTGAACAAAGTCTGGCTAGCTCTGGCTGTGATCACTTGCTGCGATCACAAGGCTCCATGATTCTCTACCAGCTTCAGATTAGCTGGGAATTTTGAGTTCTGCTAGCCAAGGTGTCATTGCTTGGTGTGCCGATAGTAAGGAGGGAGAGCAAGCTTGTGGCTGCCTTCAACATACCCCAGACCCCAGCCGAGTCATGAGCTGGGGCCAGCAGAGCTGGCTACAGGTGCAGTGGAAGTCCTGCTTTGCTTTTCACTGCTGTTTGTTGAGTGCAGGTGGACTTGCAGAGTTAAATTTGAGATGAAAATTTCCCCAAGTGTGTGCAAACTGAGATTCAGTGCAGCTCTGTTGCGTGACCTGTTTTAGAAGGCCCTTCAGCATAGGTCATTGGCTGAGTTTAGTTAATAATAAATCAAAAGTGTAGCAGCTTAATGAAGAAATGAGTGTACAACAGGAAAAAAAGCACGACATTTTTTTCTACTCTGTTTCCAGAAATGGCAAAACTCACCTTCATTTTGAGTTTTTTTTCCGAGTAAAATTGTCTAAAAGCAGTATCAGTTGAAGTATCAGCAGTATCAGCTCTTTTAATGGGAAGTATCTGACAACCTTAACGAAAAGCAGTGATATTAGCTCTCCTTTCAGTACCCTGAGATATTTGCTTGTACTCTTAACTTCATTTGAGAGAAGAATGGAAACTAAAATAGTCTGCCAGCAGCAGAAACTGATGCTGGTCAGCTTCTGGGGCTGCCTGTTCCCTTCCCGACTGCACTGAGTCTGGTAGGAAAAACCCGCAGTGTTCAGTGGGAGTTGCTGGAGACAGCTGCACGTTGGGTAGTCACTGTCTAATACTTCCATATGGGACTGCTAACACCCTGCAGATCCTCTGGAGAGGGGAAAAAAAAAAAAAGGCAGCTTATTTCTAGCACTGTCTTCATTGCTCAGAGATTACTGGCTGGATTGATGGTGTGGACAAACGCTCGTCTTCCTCTAATTGGCCTGTTCTCGCTGCCTGAGTGATTTAGTGGTGGCAGTCTCGTGTATGTTGACATGACATTTATCTCTCTGGAATTGATGGTGATATCACAAACAGATTTGTGCTGTTATTGATGGGCTTGAGCAAGCGAAGCGGAGCAATTGTGGACAGCTTCCGTTTGGCTGGATACCCTGTCCAGGCATCTGCAGCAGGAAGGCGCAATACACTGATGGTTTTCCTAGTGGAATGTACAGCCATGTGGTCGTACTTCTCATTTCTTTTCTTGTTTGAGGATTTTAGACTCTTTGAATGTGTTACTTGCATAGCTTTAGAGTGGGAAGATGTTAGTATGTGAACTTTTTTGCCTTAACAGCAAGTGCTTCAGGTCTGTGCAAGTGAATCCCTTTGACCTCGCTGTGAGTCGGGGTACAGCTTAGATTTGCTTGAATCCAGGTGGGATTTTCTGATCTGTGCAGCAACTTCTGGAGGTCTAGCACGTTTGTTCGAGGCTAGCTGCCCTGCAGGATTAAGCCTTTCAGGAAATGGAGTTTTCTCATGCACAGTAGCATTGAGTAACCACTTATCTGCAGCATCTCATACTTGTTTCTCCTCCAAGCAACATGTTTATAAAGCAAACTATTCCTACCTGGGATATTTGTTAAGCTAGGAAGCTTATCAGGTGCAATGAGACAGTAGAGGCATCTGTTTAACAAACTAGTTCTTTCCTTTGTAATTCAGAACACAGGAACTTCCTACCAGCGTTGCTTTGTATTTGAAAGGAGTTCATAATATTGGCTTGCAATATTCAAATATTTTTCTTAGCATTGTGGTAGTTATGTCCTCGTTTCAGTTGATTGCTAAATCATCCCTCATGAAAGTCTACGCAGGAGGAAACTAGTTCATTGTGTACACAAAGCATAGTAAAATATCCATCCCGCAGCAGGATTTGCAATATCTGGTTGTGTAACTACGGTGTGCACTGTCCCCTTGAACGAGCTGGTAATGCACCAGACCAAAGCAGCCAGTTTTTGATTGCAGCCCAAGTCCTCTGAATTAATTTTCATTGCAAACCAGTGTCTTAGCTGGAGATCTGTGGATTGTGCTGCACTGCAAGGTGTATCAGTTGTTAGGTCATTGGAGATTGTATTATCTCTAGCTTACGTGCTTTTAAAGACTGCATTTTGTCTTGGATTTTCAGTCGTGCTGTTTCTAAGAAAACACCTGTAGAAAATAAGAATATGTAAGACCAGGAATTG